TCTTCAGTGGTAGTCTTTCTTTACCCTTGTGAAGCCTTCTGGGAGAGTTGAAATTGTGTGTGACAGGATTTTCAGAGGGTGTATTATAACACTGTGTAAATGATAACTCAGATTAAAACAATGCAGTATGTAGCTTTGTTTACTTCTGCGCTGTTCATTTAATCAACTGATTTCTTAGTGGCCAGTGAATTATTCCAGGCTTTGCAGCATCTGCTTCTAAGAAGCAAATGTTTTTAAAAACTGATCATGCATTACTTCTGAAGCTACAAAAGAGGAGAATTGTTTGTACTCGGTAAAACCTAATTATCTTATGTATCCTTTTCTTAGTCCATCCAACTGCGCTTAGAATTTGCAAAGGAATTGGGCACTGGAATATCCATCTGGGAGCTGGGACAAGGCCTGGATTATTTTTATGACCTACTTTAAAATAAACGACCTGGGAAAGACTTTATTTGCTGAGATTGTTTCATCAATTACTTGGGGGGATTTTTGGGAGAAGGTTTTTTTTAAAAATACTGGTTTTTGTAATTTATAGTAAATCTGTATTAAATTTGCATTTTCCCAATAAATAAGATGTTCTGAATTACTGTATGGATTGCAACACATGGTTCTATTCAAGAAAATACATATCTCTGGAAACATACCTTAAACTCCTTTTACCGTCATTACAGTGTACCACCACTAGGAAAATACTAAGAGTTCTTACCATTTTCACGAATGAATACCAATAGTTTGCACTTTCTAACCCAGGTTTAAGATGGAGATTTCTCAAATAAGAACTAATAATTACAGAAGTAAGTAGGCAGACCCACCTGTCAGGTTTGTGCATGGTAAGTGAAATGCCTTGTATGCTTCTTGTAGCATAACTCATTTGTAAACAAAAATTAGCCTTGCTATGGTATATAAAAGCAAAGTATGATACGTAAAAATAAGTAAAGCATAACACAGAGGGGGGCAGGGAGGGGAAGGAGGAGGAGAATGGACATGGTTCCTCCAGGCTGGCAGAAGTTCATACACTGGGTTAACTCTTTGTTTTTTTATTTTTAGGAAACCCATAAGTAGGTCAGGATCATGGCAATGTCAACTCCAGACTTTCTTTTACTTCACTTGCACACCAGAGTAATGCCATGGTTTCTGTTTTATCCTTAAGCTGCTTCATGGTGTGTTTTGTAATATTTAGTAGCCGTGCATTCTCTATTAGTTATTAGTCTGTGGGCATCATAATATTTAGCACCAATCTTTAAAAGTGTTCTTGGAAAGTAGATTCTGTAAAATGACTATGCATTTGTTAGCTTGATTTTTAAAACTGCTGAACACCTCTGGCTCCCACTGTTTCCACTTGGCATTGCAGATACACGGCAGCTTTCAAGGTAAGGCTCTACATTGCTCATCCTACTTGTTAGTGCTTTGGAAAGCCTGAAAAAGGAGTATCTCACAACACTTCGCTGTAGTAATCGCAACACTTCACTGTAGTACTTAACCATGTAACTTTTACCCTAAAAGCCAAGAAAATGGATCATAAATATATTCTTCTAAGATAGCATTCACCAGAGACAGAACCAGAGGAGATGCAATGGCATGGCTGCATACCCCCTTTTGGACTTTAACACACCTCAGGAAGCTACGGGGACTTTTTTAAGGTCCCCAGAAGCATACAAGAATCCTCCCACACTTTGCCTCCATGCTGAGAGGGGAGCTTCATGCTTTCTCTGTTGGTGGGGGAGCCTCAGGGCCATTCCTGCCTGCTCCCGCTGAGCTGTACAGGGCTGGGCTCTGAAGCTTCCCCTGCCCTGGGACAACAGGGTAAACAGGAGCAGTGAGTGGTGGAAAGGGAGGGGTAGGCATGTGCCTCTGAGCATGGAAAGGAAAGGAATTTTTAGCTGCTTTGGGGGTCTTTAAAAATACTCAGAGGCTCCCACACTGTCTGCCCACATTGGTTGTTGGGGGTGGGGGAGGGAGGAGGTTGGGAGTGGGAGTGCAGCCATCCTTACAGCACGGGTTGCTGCTCCAACACTTTCCCCCCACCCCATGCCAAATCCTGGATCCGCCTCTTGTGTTCATGTTTACTAGTTTCTTAAGTTCCATGTACTTGGCAGAATATTGACTAAAATGAAATTAAGGAGAGCATGCTGGGAATATTAAGTGAGCATCTGGATCACTAGGAGAGATCTAGGCAGTAACAGTATGGACGATGGAAGTTCTTATTCCCACTTGTAGCTCTCACAGAGATATCTTTTCAACTTAGCCTGCGCCCAGCACTCCCAGTAATTAATCTCAGTGGGGGATTTATCTACCTCTGTTGGTTTCAAGCAAATAAATCCCATTATAATCCACCACTGATTAAAGAACTATTGATTTTTCACCTCTCTGATCTAGTTCTGACATCTTACAGCTCCACACTGTAAAGTATCTAATAGGGTTTACTAATCAGGTCCCTTTCTTCCATGCCATTAGGAGTGAGATAATTTGCTATGTGAATCCTCCTGTTCAATTAACCTGAACTTTTAGGTTCAATGGAAAGCAATTTAAAGTAACCTTGGCAATGGTATTTAAAATAACCCAAGAATTACATTCTACTGTTTTTTTCTCCCTACATTGGAATGACTGAACTAGTAGGATTGAAAGCATATTTGGTAAATGAAAAAAAAAATGTAACAGGTTGTGATCTAAGATGCACACCCATTTTTATACTGGTTATTAGTATTTTCAAAATTGGGAGTTGGTGAAGAAAAGAAAACTTCATCTTAGCTCACAGTGGGTAGAAAATGCATGGTTTTATATAGTCTTTTCCCCCACCTGTTTCATCATTGCTATCTTTTATACTCCATGCCTTTTTCGCTGTGAAGCAGCTTAAGTGCTGTAAATCACCTGGAAGACAGATGTATGTTTTGATGAACTGTCCTTACAGATGGAACAAATACTTCTCTGCTAAAAAGATCAAACTAACCCTGCTGTTTCATAAAGAATAAATAACAGAGAGGTACACTTTGTAGTTAGAACCATCTCTAGTGTAGATGCTTCAAGCTAAGAATGTTTTTTTTTATCTCTTAGGTGTTATGAATATTTGTTACTTTCTAAATAATACGCCAAAAGTATGAACATCTCCTCAGTACTGAAGTATTCCATATACTGCAGTTGAATGAATTATGTCCTTTGCGTGCCCTCTCCATATTTCTACTTGTGGGTTGTGCTGACTGATGCAGCTTAGAGAGTGAAATGTTCTCACAGGAATGCTCCTGGAGCATTCACACATATCACTACTCCCTCAAATATGTTGGGGGATCTGCTGCTGCTACTGCAGTTGTTTCCAGCCACAGGAGTAGACAAAAATTAAGTTCTCCATATCCCTTTTTCTCAAAGAAGATAGTGATTCATACTGTGTTTTAGTGTTTAGTGTACTGTAAATGCAATGGTAATTGCTTTTTAGTTTTTGTTAGTTTTAGCTGTTGGGAATTGGTACCATCTACAGTTATTATGTAGATTTGAAGTGAGAAAAATATTTTAATTGTGCATCATGTCTGGCAGTCCTTCTGGCACATTTCCATGGAGGATACTGTCCTTTGAGACATCCTGTCTGCAATACCTTCATACTAGGATCACACAAGGAACGTCAGGACACTGGTAAGCTCTCCTGGGCTGGCTTTTAGTGGCAAAGAAGATCTAAGCATTGTAAAGGATCAGAGTGAAAGATGAGAAGATGAGAGGGGCTGTTGGATCCATCTCAATCAGTGCTGAGAAAGGTGGCAAAAGACATAAAAGGCCTGGGCATCTTCTTTTGAAGGGAGTGGATTGTATAGCAATAATACGGATAAAACATAGATTAAAAAAGAGTATGTATGATCAACTGCTAGTCATTTAGGTACTTTTTAGTCTGTTAAAGGAGGAGTCTTGGGGCCTTCATTTAGGTACCAGAACAATTTTATCCAACAGTGGGTGCGTGTACATATGCAAATAATCTGGGATTGACTCTTAAATAAACTACTGAAGAGTAAACTCTACCAAGCACATGTCTACACATGCACGGATGTGGGAGATTTGCTGCTCCTAGCAGCAGACTGTTTCTGCTCCCTGTAGCCTTACAATGGGCCCCTGCAGCAGCCAGGGGGAGCTCTAGGTTCCCCCTCAGTGCAAGCCCAGGGGCCAAGAGACAGCTGTATCTTGGCAGGGGCTGGGACATTGCTCCCTGCCCCTGGAGGCTGCTTGCTGCTGGGGCGAGCTCTGCCAGTGGAGCCTAGGCAGGAACAATGTACCCCTGCCCCAGCAGCAGGGAGCTCCCAGCTCCCACTCCATGATCATGGATCCAGGCTGGGAGATCCTTATCTCCCAGCCCCAGTGCCCTGACCATGGGACTTGGGAAAGGACATAAGGATCTCCCAGTGTCAGCCCTATGACTATGGAGCTAGGAGAGAAGGATTTCCCAGCCCAGGCCCCACAACCATGGGACTTGGGCTGATATCCCAGCCCCATGATCACAGAGCAAGGGCTAGGAGCTCCCTGCTTCTGGGGCAGGGGGCATTGTCTCCACTGGGATCCGGTGGCGGAGCCTGCCAACAAGCAGCATCCAACAGCAGAGAGCAATCTCCTGTCCCCAACTGACTAGGAGCACATCTCCTTGTGGTCAGACATCTACACATGCACTACTGTGCAGTATGTAATCTCAAGTAAATTTGCTACTTGCATTTGCAGGTAGTAAATTTACTCATGATTAGAGCCAATCATGAGTAGACAGTAAGAGCCTGCACATGGAGACATAAACACTTACTGCTCAATAGTTAGCTCTACTGCACAATAAAGCATCTTGTGTAGACACACCCAGTGTCACCCTCTTATAATTTCTCTTAAGAGACTTCAGTTTTCTCAGGAGCAGTCTACTTCTTTGACACAGCAGAGAAAAAATGTGAAATGCTGAATGAAAAGAAAGCAGTATTGCATTTCAACATCTAGTTCAAACCACAGACCTCAGATCTGACGGAAAGATTGGCAGGTCAAAACCAGTCTCTATCAATACCGATCCTAATTTAGACAAATGGATTCCAGAGAAGATAATAGAAAATGTCTACACAGTTCAGTTTGAAACCGTACTTCCATTCAGACTTCCAAAACTCATCCCTGTTCAGACCCTTCTCACGTGACTAAAAGTTCAATTACAAGTGAGAGATGCCAAGAAAAGGAATTCAAAGGTCAAGGCTATTACTGAAGATATTTCCTCATACCAAAGAAAAGTGAAGGGTTTGGTCCAATTCCAAATCAAAGAAATCTCACTATCTTGACAAGGAAATTCCTTTTCTGTAAGCTGGTTCTTCTGTCCATCATTTTTTGCTTCTCTACCCCAAGTTGATTTGCAGTCCTTTGATTTCAAAGGGTGCTTTTTCATATTTTTACTGAACCATGCCACAGAAAGTATCTTCATTTTATAGTAGGCCAACAGCTCATCCAGCAAAAATGCTTTTCTTTTGGGCTGTCTGCTCCCAGGAGTTTTAGAAAGTGCCTTTCCATTGTGAGTGCTCATTTAACAAGATGAGACATTTTTGTCCACTCTGAGTGCATTACCATTTTACACAAATTGAAGTCATGCAAGGTACTTTTCAGGA